TATGAATTATTTATGACGAATGAAAAATCAGTCATTTTTGGGCATTTTTGGCCAAAAAGCATGGACTATAGCCCATGGTTTTGATGAAAAATGCGTCATTTTCACACCTTTTGCAAAACTATGAATTATTTATGAGGAATTAAAAATCAGTCATTTTTGGGCATTTTTGGCTAAAAAGCATGGACTATAGTCCATGGTTTTGATGAAAAATGGGCTATTTTCACGCCTTTTAAGATCATGAATGATAAATAAACATTTCTAATCATTTCATTAATGGCCAAAAAGTATTGACATAGCCAATGATCTTATTTCAACACTAGATAATTTTACATCAAATTTCTCCATTTCGTACTCTCACTATTTGAATGCTATATCCTTTTTCCCATAACTGAACTTTTAACATCATCTTCAACTAGTTTCATCTGTTTATTAAGAAATGCTATAACCAACTAAGGATGGGGTTTTACAGAAGCAGAATAGTCAAAGCATAATTGTCTAGCTTTAGCTTGGTAACAAGTGAAATGATTTGTCAAAACAGTTCATAATATAACAGCATTTACATTTTTTTGATTTAAAGTAGATAGAGATCATGGTCCTAGTCATGGTTTCACCTTGAAGTCCATCCAGTTATTAACAGTTTTTTACCAGTCCTGTTCCTCTCTAGACATAGTATAGAAAGATGTTTAGAATATCTGGCCCTGGGAGGGATAGCTGTTATTACAGTTGAGCTTGCATTGAGAATTTTTTTTGTTTTAAGAATCATACAAATGARGCTATTGGGCCATTACAATGCTTGTTGTCTAATTTCATCATTTGCATGCATCCATAATAACTGCTATTAATAAGGGACTTCAAGTCAGGGAGGTTGAAGAGTATCTTGCTTCCATATCAATTAAATATGAAGGTATATTTCCAGTTCCTCACATGTTCATGAATGTAAAAAGATCATCTATAGAGCTGTTAAGTTGGGATATAATTTGTGGGTCCAACTTCTCACAAAAACTAAGGAAAAATATTCTCAATGATTGAAACTCCAATAGAAACTGTTAGAACTTTGGACAACCAATCCTTTTGTGAAGAAAAATTAAGAAAAACCTTTATAGCTTTTTATTTTTGGTTTTTTCATCACACTTAAAAGCTCTATGCTGACTGGAGGAGAAAAAGATAGACCATTTGGAGCATATATAATTAATCTGGATACACTAGGTTCGTAAATTAAACCAGTGTCACAAATCCCATCCTATTATCAAATTCATCCTATTTCTTTCCCATCCTATTGTGTTTTTTACAGGCTGATATAATTGCTTAGGCAACTAAGTTTTTATTTAGCTAAAAAAGTAATTACTACTGCACGAAAGTATGACCACTTGTATTCGCATACTTTTATGCACAAGCTTTTTGCTGCCAAATGAGCTCTCGCACACCTTATTTGATAAAACCAGGCAGCTTTGCATCAAAATGTGTATCTTTAACGTACGAAAGTGCATGCTTAAAAATATGCAATTACATCATTGCCAGTCATACTTTTGCATATCACTCTTAAAGTATTGCAATATCAGAATAGTATTTCTTAATTTAAAGCTCTTACTCATCATTTAATTTTTCATTATCATTAAGTGTTTTCAACTTTCACTGATAGCAGGCTAAAATACTTGGTGTATGTACCAATTTCTATAATAAATAGAGTTCTCATTAGATAAGGTTGTTGTTATCTCAGAACAGACTGCTTAAGTCCACAACCTATTTGAATAAACCTAGTAAAACAGGAAAGCTTATGCTATCTTTGATCAATAGCATGTACATTTTTTCTGGCGTCTCCTTCTTAGTGCGATGAGAACTCTGAATATTTACACATATGTAAAATATATTCTGAAATCAGGGAATAATCATATTTATATACTAAGCAGCAATCGGTGTGCATGTAGCTCAACAGAGTTTTGAAATGATCCTACATAAAAGAATTTTGATCCTAAAACCTGATGTGGGTGATTAGTCTGGTGAATCATCGTCAAGGTCAACACGTTGGATTTTTCTAGATCTCACACATTCTTCTTGTTCTGGAAAATCTGCTGTAACTGTGTCTCTTTTCTTAGTTGAATTCTAAAGATAAATGAAAAAAACTTACTACAAATACAATACTCAAGATTATTGTAAACTTTGTGGACATAATGTAAAGCATAAAAGAAAGTCATTAGAGAAGGTACATTTTTTAATAGGAAAGGGGAGGGGTGGGAGATTTTACCCTCCTTCCTCAAACCCTAGCCCTCCCCCACCCTCCC